GAGCGGCGCTTCGCGCCGCTCGCTGCGCTCGCTATTAGTGGGTATGGATTATACTTGATTAAACTGTTTCTTCTCTGTATGAGCATTGATACACGTGTAAGAGGAGAATGCGATAACACTCATCCTGATCAAAGTGGAAAGTAAGTAGACGTTCCCTATCATATTGATTTGAAATGTATCAATGGCTTTGATTTATCTGTGATCTTATTTAACTTCATTACGATTATAGCAATATATGTCTCTAATTATATTGTCTTACTTCAGGTTAATCTGCTGTACAAATTTCTTTCTATATAACGGAGAATGTAGAGGTATGTTATACATGTATACATGTAGTATCACAAGGCTTTTCAAATCTGTCACATCTTTTTTCGAATGATGATTAATAAAATCCTTTTTCAGAGTGCCCACCCGGTTCTTTCGGACAGAATTGTTCCCGTCAGTGCCACTATCCTTATTATGGTCGACTATGTATCTACTGGTGCCAGCCTGATAGTAACACATATGATCATGTAATGGGATGTACCAACAACACATTAAAGGATGCATCAACAAAAGCTAAACAACTCATAAATAGCACATTTACAGATGTAGCAGAAGGTTGACAGCTCATTTTAATCTTGTAACCATTGTATTTCATCAGTATAAATTATTTTACGTTTCACTTTTGTATATTTTGTCCAGAGATTCCTTCAAAGGAAACATCATCTCCAGATTCAATTAACATCACCAACAGCGGCTTTAAAGAAGAAACGGAAAACGGTGACACTTCAATTAAAAGTCGTCTAAACATAACAATCGTCATGTATAATTTATTTAGCATGAATTGCGTTTACTATTGATATTTAAATGACCTGCTTTGTTAGATTTCGTCCGGCTTACAAATCCTAAACAAAATTTACTAAAAGATAACTATTGTTTACTAAATTAAACTATTGTTAAGATAGTACATACAGGTACCTGTAGTAAATATGCATTTTGATGTCTTATATTAATATGCTTTCAATAACTATAATACTTTGAAACTTTACTATCTCTCAAACTCAATGATACAGGAATATAAAATAATCTTCATTTTGATATAAATAAAAATCTTATTTGGTAGTCGAGTAATCGAGATAAATGATATACAATGTTTAACAATTTGAACTTTAAGTAAAAGCACTTTGCAATGGTAAAAATGGTAAAAATTTTGTTACTTTGATCTAAATACTTTGATTCTTTGATTAGTTTATAACTAAGGTATCTTATGTTTGTGATTTTCAACTGTTACTGATTTATGTACAAACAATTTTTCAAACATCCGATTCGAATTAAGTTCTTAATGAAAAACTCAATTATTTTCTGTTAAATATATTTATATTGTACAAGTTTAGTTACGTTTTGTTGTTTTAACGATTGCAAAACGAACATAAATGTGCAGCTTCAAAGCCTACCAAGAAGTCCATCGATGAATGTTCGAGTTACCATCTCTCATCTGCCTCTAGAGTTTGTAAAATAAGCATAATCCCTCTCCTTTTCCTGAGAGATTTACCTTTCTTTAATGTTTATGTTTCATTAGTTAAATTTATTTAATCGTCCGTTGTTTTTTAGGATTTGTTTGCTTTTCGTGTAAATGTACGCTACGTTCGATATTCAGAGTATCAGAAATATACCGATTATATAGGTAGACGTTTTTTCTTCCGGTACAAAAAGTATTACTTAAAGCATAGATTTTGTAGCAATTATTGTATTGTGAATACAAAATACAACTTTGCAACAAGGTAAAATATTTTACGTGCCATACCATGACAGAGTGAGACATCTCAACTTTCCACGTGAACACATATATATTTGAAGGTATGATTATATATAAATACTGTATGTAGTTGATGGAAACATTGAAAATTTTCACACACACCCAGAAAAACCATTGTTAACCAGGGTGCAAGCTCGGAATGGTTTCATCATTCAGAAGCTAACAGTCTTTTTAACTAATGTTTCTCAACGAATCAATTTTCAAGTAATTTACATGAAAGTACAATGCTACATAATATAAATAAAATAATTGATTTATTTATAATTTTATCCCTTGCAACAATAATGATAAACCAAAAAGACTGATTTATTACAGAGGTAAGTCGACCAGAACAGTAGCAAAATATGAATGATTAGAGAAATGCACATTCTTCTCCCACACTAGTCTGAAACATTGAAAGCTCCATAAGGGGCATTCATTCTGATTCTGTGTATAGTTTTGAATAGATTGCCATCAAGTCTGTCAGATTTTTAAAAATTCTAAAAAAAAAAAATAAATAAATAAATAAATAAATATCCTCTTATCATTGAGTGCTCCCATGCAATAAATCAGTAAATCTAAGATATGTAGTGGTTTACATTTTTACCATCTATCAAATCATTTTAAAATGTCATAATATTGTTATCACGCAAAATTGATCCAAAGTCCAGAGAATAACTTCCGTCTGCGTCGTTCGTTCCAAATGATTCATAAAACTGTCGTTTACGTATAAATTATTAAAAGAATTAAGATGTGCTTTAACACACGGAAATTTTTCCTTGGATAATTCAAATATATGAATAGCTTAAAATGATTGATTTTGATAAATAGTCATTTGTTCCTTATCATTTATCATGTAGAAGGCATTATTGATATGGAACATGTAATGTTAATTAAGGTCTTCCGTCTTCACGGAAGACCTTATAGTGATTCTACTGTTTCTTCTTCTTCTTATTATTATTTTTCCGCCCATCTAATTTTGTGCACGCGATTTCTCAAAGACTACTTGATGAAATTTAATGAAATTTGCAGGAACAATGTGTTTTAATCTGAAGTTATTTTATCCGAGAGATTTTTTGGAAAATCACTTCCGGTGCCAAGTTACCGACCATTTTCTGAATTTTAAAAGACATTTTGTCCGCAACTAATCTCAAGAACGGTAAAAGATATCAATGTGAAACTTTCAGGGATTATAGATCGTGATAAATCCTAGCCGGGACATGACCTTTCGTTCGTCGTCGGTACTTCCGGTTGTTACCGTATGCGAAATTAAAAAAATTGAATTTTCTAACTTTTTTGTTTTTCAATATTTTTCTTTGATATTAGTAGAGTTAATAAAGGCATTTCCAAAAAGGCTTAATATATAATTTGTTTAAAAATTGATAAATCCAAACTCTAGATATTCGCATTTTAAAATTTGAAGCGGGTCCAAAATGGCGGCTGTCTCCGTAAACTCCGACGAGCAGGTCGGTACTCGGAGCTCCTCGGGTGGCTGGTACCTCGCACACTAACCTCAAACGTCAACGGTGTTCTATTATTTCGGGTTTAATCCTGATTATGTCTGAATTTTCTTTTTCATTTTTTACCTTTAATTTACGTTTTCATCTTTATAAATGATGTTTTTTTTTCTGTGTGAATCCTGCGCTATTTGCATTTGTTTTAAATAAATCCTAAAAAATCCTTGCATTTTTTAAGGACCATGTTATATTTTACGGACATTGGCAAGTTAAACAAAAAGCACGTGTACTTCCTTCAACGGGTAGAATCATCTATACAGCAAGAAAGAAAAGTAGTTATGACTTTGTTGTACATTGTATTCAGGAGACAAAGAGCCAACAGGTCGTCATTTACCATAGTTATGCTCAGTATGTTGGGAAGGGCAAAGATTTGACATATGCTGAAAAGTAGACCGACCGAGATCAGTTTCTAGGTTGTATGAAGGAAGCAGCATTTAGTAACTACTAATAAAAATTGAAATAAATCCATGCCAATATTTTTATGACAATGTGTTTCAATCAATTCAGTCAATTACATGATAGAATCAATCAACCAGTCTGACTCTCTTGACCCTCATGGATAATATGTAATTATAGCTGTTAAGGGAAGTAACTCAAAAATAGAGATCGGTGCCGGTATGTCCTTGTCTTGTTTCTATATTTACATTTTTAGCTAAAATATCTAGAAGTCATAGGAAATGAAAATAGATAATATATATAAAACAAAAACCATATGAAATAAGTGAGTTTTGGAGAAATATTATTGCAAAAAATTATGTAGGTCCCTTTTATCAACATTTTACATAGGAAATGCATTGAGAATTGCAAAAACACTGATTTGACAAAATCTAAAAAAAAAAAAAAAAAAAAAAAGAAGGTTGACTTGGTAGGTTAAACAATCCAGAATATAGCCTGTTTATTACAATTAAAACTACTCTCAAGAGTTCTTGAAAAATTCTATACGAGAAGTTGTCTAAGCAAGAACTCGAAAACGGTAAGACACCAAACTTATATGAGCAACAGTCCTTAAGATGTAGGCAAAACCAGTTGGGTTCAGAGCGTCAGCCGTCACTTCCAGTCGTCACAGGAAGTGATAAAAGAAATAGAAAATTTCAACTTTTCTTTTTTTAATTAAAAATTGCATCACTTTATTGCATCTTTTTCGCAGATTCGAAAGATGTTGGTCCCACCGGAAACAAAATCTACAATTTCCGGTTATATGAGATAAACTAAATAATTTCAGCATTTTACTTTCCCATAAATATTCTTTATAGATAAAGTATTTAAAATGAATTTTAAATATGTTATTCAGAGTGCAAATGTCTAGAGTAACCTTGAAAACGTCAACTTCCGGTTTAAGGAAATAGCACGTTGGATTTTCACGCTGACGACCAGGGTTAAATTTCTAGAGTGTCTGAATTTCTTTTATCACTTTTTCAGCTTGAATTCTCGTTTTTATTTTCTGAATCGGACGGAAGACCTCTCATTGCTCGCAATGAGTTTCTAGTTTTTTTTTCTCTTTTGTTTAAATATTGGAATACTAACAAAAGCGGAATGCAATAACACTCATCCAGATCAAAGCGGAAAGTAAGTAAATATTCATTCTGGCAAAACATGTCAAAATGATTGATTGTATGTTGGTTTACGTCCCATTCCAGAATTTTTCACAAATACAGAGACAAAATATATATCTATTTTTTTATGTGCTAACTTATTCAAAAGTAATCATGATTTTCTATACATCTAGTTTTAATATTTCTCATTCCAGGTTTAACTGCTGTACAAACTATTTTCTTTATAATGGGGAATGCAGAGGTATGTTAAAATAAGTTGGCATGACTTTACAAATCTCTTGCTCGTCATTTTTCAAACAATGTTAAAGACTTATTTTTCAGAGTGTCCACCCGGTTTTTTCGCACAGAATTGTTCACGTCAGTGTCACTATCCTCACTTTGGTAGATTATGCATGTACAGGTGTCAGCCTGATAGTAACACATATGATCATGTAATGGGATGTAAAAACAACACATTCAAGGATGAATCTCCAAAATGTAAACAGCTCATTTACAATTTCTCGCGACACTACTTTTTTCATCTCTGTAAGGCATTCCATGTATCAATGTCTATATTTTTTTTCCAGATGATCTATATGAAACATCATCTCCAGATTCAACTACACAATAATCAAATAAAACAGTTACAATAACAAAAGAAATGATCACAGTAAAGGAAAATGACAATGATAAAAAACAAAAAACCGGCAAAGCTGAAAACAGCTGTAATATCTGTTGGAAGTATTCTGGTATCAATAATAGCAATATTTACAATAATATGGATGTCGATGTCAATATGTAGAAAACAGACAGTAAATATAGTTAACAAGGACAACGCGTCAGTTTACATGGAAATCGATAATGGTTCGAGCCACATAGAATCTCGGGATCAAACACTTGAGAGAACAGTATTAGATGTGTCATGCACAACTCTTGATGAGACAACGGAAGAGAGACCACAACTCCCAGCAAGAATGACCGTTGTTCCATCGTCAGATAAAAATGCAACTACTTAATTCATGTTTAAACACAAGCGAAATCATATAGACAGACAAATGAAATATATCAGTTGTGTAAAGTGTGAAAGAGCGACTTCTCATTTGATAGAATACCTATGGCTACTTAAAGGCATTAATGTTTAAATGATTTTCAAAAAATATCTATGAAAATAATTAGAAAACAAAATAAGTTACATATACATTTCAATCCTTTACAGAGAATATACGTCGCCCGCGTGGCGCAGTGGTTAGAGCGTTCGCTCTAGAGTCGCCGAGTAAGGAGTTGATCCTTACGTCGCGGGTTCGAATCCCATTATGGGACGTGGAGACCGGTCCTTCGGATGAGACCGTATAAACCGAGGTCCCGTGTCGCAGTAGGTGCTGGCACGAAAAAGATCCCTCACTGCTCAATGGCCGTAAGTTCCGAGTATAGGTCACAATTTGCAGCTCTCCACCGGCAAGTGGTGGCGTCTCCATATGAGTGAAAAATTCTCGAGAGGGACGTTAAACAATAAAAAAAAAAACAGAGAATATACCAGGTAAAGACAATTCATGGGGTGTGAAATTAGATATTTTTTCTTGTTTCAGCAATATGCTCTGCTGCATAAAGATATTTAAGTTCAGCTTTCATTCCTAGAATTTAACACTCCGCTGACTACACTGAGCTCGATTTTTGCCAAACAACAAAAGGCAGATTTGTTCCAAACAATCTCATTTATTATGAAATGACAACATATAATATAATACATAAAACTGAATAAAAAAGACTGAGAGACCATGTAAAATTACAACACAATTCATTAGAAAAAATAGTAAACAATTACGCAATAAAAAAAATTACCTCCCAGTATGCGACTATTACATAACATATATAAATTGACAAAATAGGTGGTCTCCAAGATATGGCCGTCCTATAGTCTAGCTAATACATATGGATTAAAGATATATACTGTTCACTGAATAAAGCAATAAAAGATAATATATATTGCAAGAGAATATCTAAAGCTATAAATGAAATATATGGAGATAACGAACAGTATTCAAGCTCAAAAGTCCATTAAACAATACAAAATAGGAGCAGAGCAAACACGGACCTCCAAACATCAGAGGTGGGATCAAGTGCCATGGAGGAGTGAGCATCCCCTGCCGATCGGTCACACCCGCCGTGTGCTCCTTGTCATGATCGGGAAATAACGGAAAAATCCGCCGACAATTCAGTGTGTAAATAATGGCCTAACAATTATAAATGATAAATTGTATTTGCTGACAAGGTCATTGTATCGACCATAGAACTTATGAAATGATGACTTTAAACGAGACAGCTGATATTCTTGTATCATCAACTTATTTGTCAATAATTTACCTCGTTTTAGAAATTGTACATACGTAGAGCATGCTCTTGCGTATCGAATCAACTGAGAGATATATACCCCGTATGCAGGTGATGAAGGTATATTGCTGCATAAGTAAGGGAAGTTGACGATTGAAAAGTTAAAGTCATCACGTTTATCATAAAGCTTGGTTGTTAGATTACCATTAACGTCTTTTTCAAGTAAAATATCCAAATATGAAACAGATGTGTCAGACTCTGTGGTATCTTTTATCTCAAGTTCACCAGGATATATCGTATCGACATAAGAATGAAAATAGCCATTGTTAATTGACAATACGTCGTCGATATATCTAAATGTCGAGTTGAACGCCACAGCAAGTGTTTTCTTCTTTTCACGCACAAGATTTTGGACAAATTCTGCTTCATATGAATACAAAAAAAGGCGCAATTGGTACCCATAGGAATTCCAATAGATTGTTGGAAGACCTGGTCTCCAAAAACCACATAGATATTGTCTATAAAACAATTTCCTCTTTTCTGTATTGTGTACGAGGAAAGGATATATCAAATATTTATTTGTGTAAACTTGCTGAATTATTCACGTTAATATAGGAATAATTTATGAAATATTCGGTAGACTTTAATTCCATTGTAAGGAATTTCATTCACTTCTAATATTTTTTGACATTTAAATTACCAAAAAAGTATAAATTATGATGATCAATTTTCATGCTATATACATGAACACCAATCTGTATATCATATAAATATACTATGGCTTTCCTAATCCAAGTTTCCAAATCTGTTTTACGTTTCCATACAGCTTCATACAATAGTGTTTTTGATATATCAAAACACTTAACAGACAGATTTACATGTGTATGATTTAATATCTAATTATAAATTATTTATTAAAAAAAGATACCTTTTTGGGTAAAACTACTTTGATAATTTCATGTTCCGTGTTAAAGGGCATGTATATTATACTTCGGGGTTCTTCAACCCTGGCTCAATTTAGCTGTTTTGTATGTTTGAACACGATAAAAATATTACTTTCTTGATACGTATATACGTTACAGGTACAATGTAACTTCTACAGCTGGTTCAGTCAAATCGTAACTGATCATGAGACTGATGTGGCCAGTACGGTACCACCCTGACCAAGGGGTTACATAAAGCTCTTTTTTGCAAAATAAAAATGCAGAATAACGCCAAAATTGTGCTCAGAATGATTCTTGTTTGCTTCGTTCACAAATGCTTGTAGAGCAAGAGTAAAATACCTATTGAATCGAAGGGCAAATTAAGGTCCAGTCTAAATATATGACAGTCGTCTACAATCATTTTAAATGAATTTCACTTAGCATTTAAATGTCCTATTTACCACAGACATTGATGATAGCCAGTAGAAGACGCCCACAGAATCAAGGTAAAATATCAAAGTCAAATTTAAAAAATTAAAAAGTAAGGCCATCTTTAAAAAAAAAACTGCTTGTTTGCCCTCTCCAGACCGACTGATTAAAAGCGGTCCGACTCAAAACTTTTTAAACTTACAGAAAACATTTGTTTTATTCATTCCGAAGTTTTCTCATCCCATCAATAACTATTCAGCTACATATTCACAAGTGTTGTTGAATAAAAATAAATCCCCTACCCTTTTATATATCCTGAGTAGGGAGAGGGCAAGCAAACATTTTTTTTAAAGATGACCTAATTTAAACAGTAACACTTTTAAAACATTTCAATCTCATATTTGCTATAGAGATACAAAGGTTTCACAGAAAAAATATAAAAATATTGAGGCAAAATTAATGATAGGTGTTAACAAATGTTTATTTACATCCTTGACATCGCTCATTCTCTAGTACTTGAATTAGTGATGCTGAATATCAATAAACTATCAATAGTATTATTATAGAGAGTGGGTGGTGATTCATATCGATAATTAATCACTGGGTAGTCGAAGGCTATAGTAGCAATAAAAGTTCAATATTGAATAATATGAAGAAAAAATATTGTATTGCGTGTGTGTTTGTGTTGGGGGGCATCCTTAAGATGCCTTGTTAACATATCTTAATACTTATGTTATCGATATCATGTATGAATTTGGTAATAATATATAGAAAAATAATACAAACACTTTTCCATTTCACATCCTATCAGACCGAGGCACGTTCAGCCAGAGGGTAGAAGGCCCGAGGACTGATATTGCTCTAAGGCTTTATGTAAAAGTTTCTTTTTTTTATTTTGAAGAAGTAGTTGTCTATGATTTTTTTAAAAAAAAACTGGTCTTTAATATTGTCAACTGCATTATTATTTTGTAAACAAAGCTTTAAGCAAGTAGAATATTTACTGTAAAATAATATGTCAAATAAATACATGTATGATCTGTCATTAATATCATAGTGACAGAAATATTCTGAATGCTGGCAAAATTCATTACTCACATACTAGTTCAAAGATAATGAACCAAAATATGAAAATGAGGAAGAAAAAAATCAATAAAAACAAACAAAAACCACGACAATACCTCACCAACAAAGAAATATTTTTTGCATCGTCAAATTGATACATATTTCCTTTTTGACTGCATTGTAACAAATACTTAGCCTTTTGGTTTAAATGTTGTAATTAAACTTTGGTATTCGTCTCTTATTCCTCAATTTAATTTGGGGAAAAAATAAATTGAGCATATAGTACGAAATTATCTGAATTACTATTAATCACTTCAGAAATTTACGTCAACATGCAATTATAAGGTAAATAAACAAATCTGAATTTCTCCTTATGTGATGAAGTTGGCTTTTGTTTAGCTAATATTATGTTTGGTTTTGTGTTTTCCCTTTGAGTTTTGTCGTTAGGTGTTTCCATAGTTTTGAGTGTGCGTATATAAGTTAAATTTAGAAAACTGGTTGGGTCAGAACGATAGAGACT